TTTATTTAATACATATTTTTATTTCTCTTTAAAAACCTTTCAAGACTATAATTAATTCGTTTCCTTATATTCCAGTTATTTAAAACCTTTTTTACATCTTTTGTAGATTTAATCTTTTAAAAAATTTAATAGTTTTTTAATTTTGTCAGTAGGTATGTATATATTTTAACTGTCAACATTTTTGTAATGTCAGATAGATTTTTTTTTTACAATTTAAATATCATGTGACGTCACTTAATAGAACTTAATTGTACATGTATAATATCATTATTTGTTTATTTTTTTAATTATCTTATATACAGGGAAATACAACAAAAACATTATGTGTTTTGCCTTCATCTAGAAGCTCTTAATATATGTTTCCTTGCTAACCACTAATTGGTATCCTCACACAAAAACTAAATAAAAAAATTATTATAATACTTATTAAAAAAGCATTCGTAAATCTTAGAGACATAAAAATGATAAAACTAGCTTTATACTTCCACTTTGTACATAACATTTATAATAAAAAAACTAAAATATTACAACGAAAACAAATTAGCACATATACTCAAAAAAAAAAATCCGAATTTTATATCAAATTTTATGTCAACAGGTTTTTCCGAACGCAAAGACAATATTGACACTTCTTCCATATACGGTATGATGTAATATATTATGTCCATATTTAAATTATACATAACATAATATATATTTTAATATATATTATTTCAATAACCATAATAAGGCTGCGTTTTCATTAAATACGTCTAAACGATATAGGTATTGGTGTAAGAGCATGATAACATAAATAATCTCCTTTCTACCCTTAATGGAAACATACCTTTAGTTACGAATAAACTTATATTAGATAAGAAATGCTACATAAATAGATACTAATAATAAACTTCAATATAATATTTTTAATGGTAGTAATGTATTATGTAGATTGTGTCAATATACAGGGTGACTGGTGAATTACTATCAATATTTAAGGAGAATACTCGGTACATGATTCTCATTCGAATTATGTAAAAAAAATAGGCACTTAATTTTTGACCAAATTTCCGTATAAATAAATAAAGTGTGGACACGTTCCAAGTGTTCCAAGTGTGGACGCGTGCGGCGGCGTGCTGATACAACACCACGCCGCCGCACGCGTATGTGTGTGTGTGTGTGTGTATACCTAATCTGTAGGGTGTTCACACGATGCGTAATTAATAACATAACTTTTGGTTAACTTTACTTAGAAGTTTATTAATATTTATGTTATATTAATTTTTATTTTGTCTTATACATATGATCGTCAAATATCACGTCCTTAAATATTGATAGTAATTCACCAGTCACCCTGTATAATGTATTGTTTGCTATGGGCGTTATGAAGGCTTTAATCTTGGCCCAGATATTGTACTGATAACATACTCACGGGACTTTATGCAGTTTTATAATATACTAGTTTTTGCCCGCGACTTCGTATGTAATTTTTTCATTAGTAGTATGTACAGCTGACCGATCGAACTTTATTCCGACTTAGAGACCGTAAATAACCTGATATTGGAATTTATTAATTTTTTTTTCTCTTTCGATCGAACAGAATTTAATATCCTATGTCCGTCTTATTCTAAGCAATCTCCCCACCAATTTTCAAGTATATCCATACAGCCGTTCTTGAGTTATAAATAGTGTAACTAACACGACTTTCTTTAGATAAGACTCTCTTTTCCTCGCGACTTCGTCCAGCTTCACTTAATTATGGGAATTGCAAGGAATAAAGTTATTAAGATCTTGAAAACGCAATTCAATCAAGTACGATGAAAAAATCACGTTAAATATTCAATATTATAATAATATAGATGAATATTTCGTATAAAATAGAAAAACCTTTCATTTCATCAAGAATCGGTACAACAAAGCTTTGTAATGGAAAAAAATATAATATTTATATTAATATTTAGTAGGTGTACCTTTTGATAGAAAGCACCAAGACAACTTAAACGCCATCTTTAAATTACGCGTCACTCAAAAATACAGTTGACATTTCCTAAGACTGTTACGGATAAAATATAAGAAACGAGTAAATGTACATAAATCAAAATGGCGGTCACTTGATATATTTAAAACTTAAAAAAATCTTATTAATTAAATGATTAATAGTTAGTTATAAGTATAATATTTAACATCGATTAATTATCCGATTGTCTATAAAATATAAAACAGGTATAAGTTTAAAATACTTTCCTAAAAAATGGAGTCACATTCCCCCAACAGTATCCGCGTACAAACGAATGGCAGGCCCTCAAGGACGTTTGTATTCTATTAAGAGAAACAGCTAATTACAACTCTATTCACATATAAATAAAGCTCATATCACTCTGGGTATTTAATCGTAATGAACTATCGCAAAGGAAAAACAGCTCTAATTGTTCAGAATTAAATGTGACAATCGCCTGCACGTACCTCAGATACAGGTTTATAATGTATTTTACGATAATTTTCTCCTTGAATCGTTCTTAACGATATATCCTAGACAAAGCTTGATTTGCAACCGGATATTTGGGGAATGCAATAAATTTTATAATTTATAATTGTATATTAAACTCAATACATTTTAAGTAATGATAATATGCATTGTTGTTCATATTTACATTAAAATGTACGTGTTACATCAGCTGTTTAAAAAAAGAAATGGAAGACGTTCCATTTTTAAATCAAATAAAGCTATCAGGCTACAATCCAATGTTCTTTTGTTTATTTCAGAACTTCATTTAATACATACTTTTAAAAGAAATTTTCTAATACATACTTTTAAAAGAATTTTTTTTTAAATTTAGAATCTTCTAAATTGCAGAGGTTTTGTTATGCAACGTCCTTTATGATTCTTATCTTGAACGGCGAAAATTCTTAACGTTAAAGAATGTGAGGATTTTTAAACAAAATGTAAATATATATTTATCTTAAATTTTATTTATACATAGTATATTTTTATAACATTTTTAAATATAGATTAAATTTGTTTTTTTTTTATTCAAGTATAAATTAGTATTTATGCCTTTCATAAAACTATCCGTAAATATTATTATGCGATTTAATATTTTTAAGTATTTAATAGTGATTTCTTTAAAAGCCGAATTTCATTAGATTATCTCAGAGCTGCCGTCATAAGAAAATAACAAAACAACGTTCTATCGTTCATAAAATTACAGCGCGTGTATTTATTACGAAATGAAAATTGTGAAGAAATTAATAAAAAAAAATATGCGCCATGTTTTTGACGAAATAGTTACTGTTGTGAGGCAAAATTATAAATAAAATGTCAAGACACTATGTACTTAAATAAATATATAAATTACTTAAGATTTTCTTCAATAATTTTAACAAATATGTAATATAATGATGGTTCAATACTAAAATATTAAATCAACCTTTTTTTTGATAAATCAATTAATAAATAATTTACAATTTATATAAAAGGAGGTTTTAAATTGTATACATACAATAAATACGAATTTCTTTTGCATTATACCTGATTAATGAATTTCATTCTACATTCCCTATAGGCTATACCTTGCTACTTTTTCACTCTCAAACAAGATAAATAAAATTTCCTTTTAATTTTTATTTGTAATTATTTCTATTACGTCTTAAATTTAATAATTAATACAGTAATTTTGGTGATAAATACCGTTAGAAATCTTAATAGGGGATACATTAAACCCATAATTAGTTGAACAACAAAGGATACAAAATTATCTATTTTAGTCTTGTTAATAGTCTACAATAAACACAATTCACCTTGACTGAACAGTGACCCACTTTTTAATCCGATATTCCTTTCATTTTGTCGTCACGGACCAAGGTTTACATACATTCCAACACATATATAACCTTTTTTCCTTATCTCATAAATAAATTATATTATACATACGTCCAGCTTAAATAGAATTTTAGCACGACCTTCGACTTTCAAGCCATAACAATTTTTATGAAAATTATTTTCAAATTTATTTATAGGAAAATTGTTTCTCACTTTAAGTGGCGCCTGTCAATCAACAAGCGGGTATTATTAACTTCGAACATATTTAAATTTGACACATTAATGATACATTATTTTTTTAATACTAGTTTACATTTTTTTTATTCATATCAAAAGAATTACGACGTAAATTTCTGATAACAATAATGTTTATAATATCTGTCATTAAAAATATCTATTTATATAAAAGTCAATTGAACAGTATAAAGCAAATACAAAACAATGTAAATAAAAAGTACCAGGACAATACCTAGTAACGATTAAAATGTATATTTTATAACCTTTATTATTTTCAATATCAGATCGATATTTTAACCTTGAGCCCCGCAATAATCGTTGTCATAAAAAAAACAACACAAACAAAACGAAAACAATAAAATTTATACTACAATAATTATATCCTGACACAAATTATAATAATAACATTCAAACTTTTCAACCTATTTAAATAATTATAAGTATCAATCAAGATATAAAATTGCTTAATATTTTTTATATAGTGACAACGAAAGTGTTACATTATAATCTACATTACAAGGAAACAGATTATACCAAAAGTGTAAAACGCGCGGTGACATTTTACGTATGCAATTAATGTAATAATAGCTAGTAGGTAGTTCGCAAACTATTTTTATGTGGTATTTTTGGTTATAAAACTAACAAAAGCATAGTAGCGTCGTCTCTGTCTAGTACACATGTACGGCGCTCGTAAAACGAGACAGAAGATATAGCAACAAGTTGCAGGGGAAACGTTATCGGACCGAACTGTGACGTCACAGCCCTTTCACTCGCAAGCGGCTAGTCGGCGCTCACTTCAGTCCGCGCGGCTCGGTCACTGCGTGAGCACGTCTCGCGCTCCGTGTCCCTAAAACCGACCACGCGTTACTCGCTCTTAAAAATTATTTAAACGGGAGATTATTGTTACTAGAAAACGGTCGACTCGACTCTGTGTACTGATCTCCCGTAACCTGTGATAGGAAAAATGGGCGTTATCAAAGTGACTCCGGACACCGCGTCCCTCATCTCAGCCTGTGATATGTTCGATGATATGAAGGTAAGTTTGTCTCGGTCATGTGATGTCGGGAATGGCTTGAGTCCAGCGGTCAGCGGACAGAGATGTCTTTAAAAACTCTAGCTTTATTTAGCGTGCGTGGGTAGAACGATACGTCGGCACGGGATCTCGCCTTATTGAAAATATGCGAATCAAAGACATACAAACTATTGTGTCACATATGTAGATAAATGGTTAAGCTTCTAGAAATAAACTGCATTTATATTCGATTCTAATGATAAATCCGGTCGCTAGTTCGTCAAATTTCAAATTAAATCAACCGACACTCAACATATTTTATCAGTGACGCGAAATTATTTGACATTCAAAAAATCTCGTATTAGCGATTATTTTTAAATCTACAATATGCGTAGTGACTACGTAAAAATTTCGTGTTAATTTATTAGTGGAAGTAAATATATTTCCTTGTGTGATTCGCGATGTATTTGAGCATGTCAGGTATGAAGAAAGTTTAATGTATTTGTAGTTTGGTAGGTAGTTAATAGTTATTTTAGTATTAAGTAACCAAAGTTAAACTGACGTCGGTCGTCTTATTCGGTTATGTGGCACAGTTTCTAGTGAAATTCGAAGTGGTCCAACGGAAGCGGTTTCCTTATCAGTTGTTTGTGATACGATTGCTTTAGCGAGACCAAAACGAATACGTGAGAATATTACGTGCTGATATGCAACCTTTTTAATGTTTGACGCAATTATTTATCATTTGAATATTAAGTTTTTTTTTTCGGAATTACAATACGATTCAGATAATTATATAATGCCAACCTATTATTGTTTACAAATGATTGATATTCTAGAATCTAGAAGATATAATATTTTACGTAAATTAAAAACGACGCTTATTTTTTTTAAATCAAAAAATGTAGAATATTAATTATCTGTGGTTCTATTCATTTTTGAATGACAACAGAAATGTCAGACTGTTAAATTTTATTATACAATAAACGTTTCCTAATGATCATGACATTTGTGATTGTCGATGCTACTTCAATTAGGGCAGGGTTTCTTAAAGTGTGGTCCACGGACCCCTTAGGGGTCCGTAGCAGGTGTATCAGGGGTCCGTAGGAGGTGAGTTTGCAAAAATATTTTTCAAAAAATTGTGTGGTGTGGGGCGCGGGCCCGGACTACAAGCTAGCGCGATGAGTCTTTGGCTTTGACCGTTATTGCGCAGAAATCAAAAATTGGGTATCGAATGCTATGATTGGCGGTACCCATGCGCAGTATCCCCTCCACTCTGCGGTCAAAGACAAAGACTCATCGCGCGAGCTGTATGTACGCGTGAGTTCTCGCCGCCGCCGCCTCGCCCCACCACCGCCCGCACCACCCGCTCGCTCACTCAGTCGCTGCGCGCCGCACGGCACATCGTACCCGCCACTTGCATTGTTTTTAATTAATTAGTGAAACGTACAGGTACGTAAAAAGAGGATTAATAATAATAAGTATTTTTTAATTATACATACAAACTTACATATTCAATTGTGTAACGTACCTAATTGTATATTACATTGTTTCAGTTTGTTCAAGAAAATGTCAAAGAAACGAAAGTATGACGAGTCTTATGTTAACTTTGGGTTTACTTTCGTGACTGAACGTGATGGAACTCAAAAACCGCAGTGCTTTTTATGCGGAAAAGTGCTTGCTAATGGAAGTATGAAACCAGCAAAGTTGTCAGAACATCTTAAAACTGTCCACCCTGGAAATGTATGTGACAGCATTGATGACTTTCGTACTAAGAAGGCTCGGTTTGAAAAAGCCGGCACTTTACCTAAATTAGGATTCACCCCGACACAAAAACCATGTCTTGAGGCATCGTACAAGGTTGCTTACCGTATTGCTCAGCAAAAGAAGCCACATACTATCGCGGAAACATTAGTGAAGCCTTGCGCACTGGATATTGTGGAACTTGTGTGTGGTAAGAATGAAAGAAAGAAGGTTGAAGCTGTTCCCTTATCAAACGATGTTATTCATTCTAGAATTGTTGAAATGTCGTCAAATGTTTTAAAGCAGGTTATTGAAGAATTGAATGCTTCACCGTTTCCGTTCAGTATGCAATTGGATGAAAGCACCGATGTATCACAATGCAGCCAACTCTTGGTGTTTGTCCGTTATGTAAAACATGATACGCGTAGTATCAAAGAGGAGTTTCTTTTTTGCGACTCACTTTTAGAAACTACGAAGGCTTCAGATGTCTTCGAAATGATAAAAAAATTTTTCATCGCACAAAATGTAGACTGGAAGACTAAACTTGGTAGTATATGTACCGATGGAGCTCCCGCGATGCTTGGTAATACATCTGGTTTTGCGGCTTTGATCAAGAAAGAGTGCCCTCATGTTATAATCACTCATTGTGTCTTGCATCGACATGCCTTGGCTTCACGAACTATGCCTACTTTTTTGAAGGAAGTTATGTCTACATGTGTCAAAATAATTAACTTCATCAGAGCAAGAGCCTTAAACCACCGCCTGTTTAAAAAGCTTTGTCAAGAAATGGGTTCAGAACATGAAGTACTTCTTTACTACACAGAAGTTCGTTGGCTGTCAAGGGGACAAGTATTGAAGCGCTTGTTTGAGTTGCGAGAAGAAGTGTTACTTTTTCTGAAAAACAAAGAAAATTCATTGTATGAATATCTTGAAAGAGAAGATTTTGTGGAAGGGCTAGCGTACTTAGCTGATATATTTACTCATTTGAACGAGATTAACCTGTCTCTTCAGGGTTTTGCAGTCACCATTGTGGATGCGTCTGAACGGCTGAAAGGTTTTTTAGGTAAACTGCCACTTTGGAAAAGAAGAGTGGAATCAGGTAAATTTGCAAATTTTCCGATGTTAGAAGAGTTGATAATGTAAAAAACCCAAAGTGACGGCCACACGACATCAAAGAAGGTACAGAAAGAGGTGTCTAAGCATCTGGAAACATTGCAGACGTCTTTTGAAGGTTATTTCAGCCCAGAGTCGCTTGAAAAAGAAACATGGGTGCGGAGCCCATTTTTAATCGATATTGACAGCATTAGTGATGAAGATCTTATTAAAGATGATCTAATTGACATGAGATCAAAAGAAGTTTTGAAAGCTGAATTTCAGGCAAAAGATCTTGGCGACTTTTGGGGTTCCTTAAGTCAAGCTTACCCTCTTCTAGTCAAGCGAGCTATGTCCATTTTGATACCGTTTGCTACTACGTATCTTTGCGAGGCAGGGTTCTCGATTATGATGTCAATAAAGACAAAAAGTCGCAATCGGTTGAACGTCGCAGATGACATGCGACTTGCCTTGTCGAAGACAGTCCCACAAATTAACGTTCTCATTGAGGCCAAACAACAGCACCCTTCTCATTAACTTAGTTCTTAATAATTGTAATGATTAAAGTTCAAATAAATAAAAGTATTTTATATAATATATAAGTACGGCTTTTTTTTATAACAATTTTTTTTGACAGTGGTCCGTAGAGTTGTTTAAATTTTGAAAGGGGTCCGTGACTGGAAAAAGTTTAAGAAACCCTGAATTAGGGCATCCTGTACTTGGCTCTATATTGATAAACGTTCGACTTACAAACATCGTGAAATAAAAAAAAAATGAAAATATTGTACATTAATATCTCGTCTGCCCGTGATCACGGTTGCTGCAAAGTAATCGAGTTTTCAGGAGTATGTAGTCCGAATAATATTAGTTTAATTTAGTATGAATATACGCATAACTCGATGGTCAAATAGCATTATATCTCACGCAATGTTTTCGCCGTTTCAACACGCTCGAGGCGCATGTATCGAAGGATTCTTTGTGTTCATTTGAATTAATTTATTCTTATACATTCATGGATTCAACGTTTTCTATAACTAATGCATATTTCAATAGTCATGAAACTAGCCGCGACGACTTCGGAATCGTTTTATTAATCGCCTATCGCTTATCAGTAATATAATAATAAAAATTAAAACGAATTTTATCTTCACTTCTTTCGAACAAAGGAATTGCGCAAAAAATTATAACAACAATGTTGACCTTTAGAATAGAATTTGAAGATCGAGAATGCTTTTAAATCGTGATCTTAGAGTCCTTCGTATGTAGAACATTTTCTTAGACAGGTGATGAGTATTTAGAATGGCAGACGATGTCGCGTTACACACACTAGCTTGCAATATAAATTCCATTTATAATTCACAATATATCGTGATTTTATTACTTAATATGTGACAATTATATTTAATATAATAAATATATTATTAAGTATGATTTTCCTGTATAGTTTTTGCGTTGACATGTAAATAATTGCTTCCCTGTTTATTTTGTTATTAATATTATTATCACCAACTTATATATAAAAGATTGTTATATATTTGCAATACATCGATAAATTTGTGCCAAAATTCTTAACTTTCTATATGTTACTTATATTCTAACTTGAATATAATCCCTACTAATATTATAAATGCGAAAGTAACTGTCTGTTTGTTACGCTTTCACGGCTTAAACACTGAACTGATTTTAATAAAATTTAGTACAGAGATGGAGTTGACCTTGAGAAAGAACATAGGATAGTTTTTATCCCAGATTTTTAAAGTTTTCTTGGAAACGCGATATAACCGAACTCCTCGCGGCCGAAGCTGCGGGCGGAAAGCTAGTTTACTATAAGAAGGTTCTGTTCTTGAAATATTAAGAGCTCACCACTGAGACAGAACTTGCATCACCTCTAGGACGATGTTTGTATGCGAACTGTGTTTATTTATTTTCCTCAATAAAAACCCTTGAAAGTTAAAACTATTGCGACAATTTACATCACTATTATACAAATATACGATACGTTATAAGGTAAAAGCACGTCACTATTAAAATGTATAACGGGTGACGCGTTGCAGTCTATAATCAAAAACAAACGTTTATCTTTAATCTAAACGATAAATTTTCCATCAAACGGCGAATGTTTAAGCTTAGATGATAAGAATGAATAATATGAATTTTAATTTAATCCTCGCTGAATTTACTTGAATTTTATTTGACGAAATTCAATATAAACGAATTTATTAATCCTACAAAAAAATAATCGAACGTCACTTTCTGGCTTTAAAATTTTAAATCATAATGTATTCGTTAAACGTTTAAATTGTATGTGATTTTAACGTAAATTTATTATCATTACCACACTAATTAAATAGCCAGCCGCTTCCAAAATACTTTCATGTAATAATTTCGTTATTTTATTACGGATTTCACGTATTAGCATACAGCCAAACAGACCAGCAATATTAATAAGTTGACGCCAATTTAGGACGATGTTAAAATAATTCATAAGAAAGTGAAAATGTGCACCTTCCCGCGCTTGTATTGGGCTAGTTCCGTCACAGCGTGCCGTGTTACGCGGCGCACGTTCCACGAGGCCATGCTAATTATCGAACTCACGAAATCGAAAGTACGGTCTATGTGGGTTGCGAATAGCGTGTAAAGAAACGTAACTCATGGACGACTATGACATTCCAACGCTAACCTCATATTAACTGTTATTAGTTAAAAATTAAATGATTTTAAGTCTACTTACATAGTGATGTGAAAGGAATTATCTATAGTTGTTCATTGTGATATTTGTGTATTAATTTTAAATGTTATATGTCTAATAACGTAAGGAAACCATGATCTTTCTCATCTACATACTAGACGGCGTCAGTGACGCGGAATAATGCGGTGTCGAAATTGTTGCATTAAAAATAAATTACGGATATCCGATACACTTAAAGTATTACGATGTTTCGTTTATCTTATTCTGTTTATTACTTAATGTAACACAGAAACGTCACGTGATCTCCAAGGTCGCTTTGAACACAGCGCCATTTTGTTTTAATATTATTATAATAGGCGACGACAGAACATTTTCGGAACTTGTTTTTATTAATAACATTTTCGGAACTTCGGAACATTTTCGGAACACTTTCGGAACATTTTCGGAACTTGTTTTTATTAATTATAAAATATAATATTAAAGAATTGTTGAAATAACGAAAAATAATCTGTTCTTATAATGACGAATAAAACGAATGTTTGTAATAAAAATAAATACTTTCCTTTCAGCATTTTTTTTATTTAAACAAAATTTGTTATGATTTCTTGTCGAATCGAAATAATTTGACTTTGTTATCTATATTGAAGAATGAGAACTTTATTTAGTTAGTCTTGTATATAAACTGAGATTTCGAAAGTTAAAAAATCAACAAAATACGGAATAATATCAATTTAAACGAATTGAAATATAAATAATAAAAGAAATTATATTGACGAAGTCGTAAGGGTTGTCAAAGTTTTAGATCATAGACAATATGCTTTACAAAATCTACAATTTATTTCGTTTTTATTCAGCAAACGATCTCTGAACATACAAATAGCCAATGTGTACAGAAAAGTCAATTGGACGTCCATAATGAAGTTTTATGGTTGTCGACCGACGATAAAATTTAATTTGTATTTATAAAAGGTTTCTTTACTTATGTCTGTAACGCCATTAATATTATTGTGATTTAACACCGACTTGTTCCAACTGATTTTACATACGAATATATTAATAATTAGATATATTTTGGCTCCTTTTTATAATAAAAAGCAGGAATATCCTGTTCTTTGAATGTATAAAATAAAATTTAATAGCAGACTGTCTGCTTTGTATTTTTTTTCTCATTATTCAAATCTGACATATATTATTATTTAATATAGCATGTACATTAAAGCTTTCTTTTCTTTATATATCCAAAAAGGTTTATGCGTCGTTTGAAAGTAAATATCTTATCTCTTAACAGTTTCCGTTTTATTGTTTTTCATATAATCTTTATAATTCGTATTATATAAGATAGCGTTATCAGCATGTATTAACATTATCAGTGTCATTTTCATTGCAATATTTTGAAAACAATTTTACACGTTCACGATAAAATGTCAGTTAAATTTAAAAAATTTTGTTTTATATATATTTTTTTAATAATAATAAGCTCTAGAAACAAATACAATTATTGTAACTGTTATTTTCATTCCCTATAAAGGACGGTCAGTAGATTTTTTACATTTTGAAAAAAGCAGATGTTATAATTCGTATATTCATTTTAATAAATTTTAGTCGTTTTAAAGGTCTGCCTCTCAAACAAATAGGCTGATAATGAAATTTATAAATAAATACAAGTACAGTTCTAATCTATAAATATAAAATCATTAATTAAGTTGGCATCATATTATGTTTTTATTATAATATGTATAAAGATACGAATGCACCAGTAATTTTATAGTTTCTATATTAGAAAAAGGAATAAAATAGTTGTGAATTATTAACTCCGACTTATTTTTCTATAATGTTTTTAGAAAATATGAATAATTTGTTTAAGATCGAAATTAATAATTTTGATATTGATATTAATATGTAAACAAATAATTTTCTCTAGTAGATAGGTACTTAGGTAGATAGGTGGTAAAGTTAACAGAATAAAAACACTTTCATTATTATAAGACTATAATAAATTCAATATGAATTTGATAAGTCTGATAACTATATAAAACATGATATATTTATTTTACAAAAACTCATCTTATTACAATATGTATAGAGTTCATTACCCCGTACCATTTCATTGTATAGTGTAATGTAACATTGTTTTGAAATAAATAACACATCAACCTTTCCGTATTTCACACGTAACGTTTCTCACGCGAAACGATCGAAGTTCACGATCGGTTAGGGCGTGGTCTCACTGACAGCGGATATAAAAGCGATTAGCGGGTTGAATTAAACTTGCACCACACCCTATATACATATAGTAGACTATTTTTACACTTTTAACACATACATAATGTTACAATGTCAAAAATTTATTGACAAGATGACATTGATTGTTAAATCTACGTACAAAAATCACGCTAGTTTCATAAATGGTCATGTCTTTCAAGCCCATACAAGTCGAGTGCACATTCTCAACATATTAATACAAGTGAACTATTTACGTCACACCGTGAGTTATTGTACAAGCATTACAAACAAGATTAACCTTATATGTTATATAATTACACCTGTTAATATAAACATTATTAAAACTGTTTGACGTCATCCACGCTATCACTCGGTCCTCGCCTCAATCGCGTGATATATATAGAACCTCAACTTTATATAACAAACATGTATTGGTTAATGTGGTTTCATTTGTGTACAATAATGTAATTAAATAATTATTTTGTCATATAAATTGATATGCAGTTCTTGTACGCAATAACTAATGTGTCCAGTACTGTAATGAGATTTAACTTTCGCGAGTATTTAAATGTAACATTCTCATATTAATGATCACGATTGCTGCAAAGTAACCGAAACTTCGCTAGTTTATAGTATTAAATAAATAACGCGTAGTAATCCAAAAATATTAGTTTTATCTTGTCCTACTAATACTATAATTGTGAAAGTTTGTGTGTGTATGTTTGTTACTTCTTCACGCCCAAACGGCTGAAGCGATTTTGATAAAATTTTGTATACAGGAAGCTGACGTCCACGAATAACACATAGGCTACTTTACATCCCGGAAAGCCGCGGGTAACACCGCGGGACGCAGTTAGTATAGTATATAAGTACTGTTGACACCACTATGTAGTGTTATAAGTATTTGAAATATTTACGCTTACCATATGTCTTCATCGTTACTACATACCAATCGTTTCCTGTATCTCATTCAACAGAGTACGTTAAGACTTAAAATGAAAACTCTTAACACTCTATGTATGACGATACTAACTTAGGTTAAAAATACTTTTCTTATATGCAACTACCACTTAATAGCATTTGTCTAAACTTATATGAAATCTATATTTAAGAATCTTAGTTATTTTGGCCTTTTCACCATTCTAAGTTAACATTAATAGCTGTTTATGGTGTTTTATTAGTCATTAGATTACAATTCAATAGGCAGATGGGTTTCGCCTAAAATAGAATATCCTTGTATCAAGTGGGTTGTATACTAAATGTACATGCAAATTGAGTAATTAGTATCAATTATAGATACCAAAACGGACTAGGAATACTAAGAATTTCTATTCAATAAATAAAGGGACTGATTGATTGCTCATTGGAATTCTACAAGGACGATCTGGGTTTGAATATATCAGAACTAACTATATTATATATGAGGTATATAATATACTTACATGACAAATTAAGTCAGTGGTGGTTTAATGGTTAAAAGGCCCGCCTCTCATGCACGAGGGCGCGGGTTCGATCCTGGCAAGTACCAATGTGATTTTTCCGAGTCATATGTGCTTTCTAAGAGTATTTAAACATCACCGATTAATGCATTTCCCAAGGAGGGTTCATGTCAGGCAGGCGACCGGTCGTAAAAACAATTAGCCAAAACTATTCACAACATGTAAGCCAGACCCTGGCTAAAGCTGGGGAATTGCCAGGTAGAAGAAGAATATACATGACAAATTATATAAGCAATCGTGGTTAAAAATCTCGTGGCCACTAAAAAGGCGGTAGAACACGAAACGAGCTAACAGGTCGCCGTGTTAATGACCTTGTTCATTATTTAATAGTTTGTATTGTTTAAACTTTTTACATTTAACAAACCGACCGTGATGACAATGAACATTTTAACAATTGTTTTTATATAACAAAATGTATTTTTAATGTCTCTGACGTTATGTGACGCTTCTGTAATAGTTGAACCATTAAAATAGTAAAATAATAGGAATTTTGTTAGCGATTTTGGGTATAGATGTACGGACCTAAAAATTTATATTGCAAATTGCGATTAGTTTATGAAATAATATAAATTATCTTAATGATAAAAAGCTTTCGTCATTGAATTAGTTGACAGAAATATATAAAGGGACACATTAGTTGAACATTAGTACCAACAGCAACTAAATAATAAGGTAAACATAAACGTGAAATAGTGAATAAAGAAAAAATTGGTAGTTAGTATTGAAATTTAATTTAAAATTATATTTATTTTGGTTATCATACATCGCTCCATTAATGTGAGTTGTCCTGGGACTCATCCTTTCATATTGAAGGCTAGTGATTGCCTATCTATAGATAACGACCTTGATTTCTCCCTAAATTTATTGATAATTAATCAACAGCTGTTTATGGTTTCATTTCAAAATTATTTTATTCTATACAAGTTTTACGAAATATTACGATTTTTCTCATATAATTTTCTGTATTGTTACAGAGCGAATCGAGCTACACCTCTTCGGAAGAAGGCTGCGGTGGTGGTGAACGTCATGCGGTGCTCAGTTACGAGCAAGTGAGGAGGCTGAATGACGTCATGGATGAGGTGGTGCCCATACACGGCAGGGGCAACTTCCCCACACTACACGTGCGGCTTCGAGAGTTGGTAGCTGGGGTGAGGGCTCGGCTGGAGACCGCGCAGAGTGAGGGCGGCGCCGGCATCACGGTCAGGGACGTGCGTCTGAACGGAGGAGCGGCGAGCAACGTGCTAGCCGACCGCCCGCAGCCCTACTCCGATATAGACCTCATATTCACAGCGGACCTGCCCACCGCGCGGCACTGTGACCGCGTCAAGGCAGCCGTCCTCAGTCATCTATCCACATTAATGCCGGCAGCTACTCCTCGCCGGCGAGCCTCCCCCGCCGGCCTAAAAGAAGCCTACGTCTCCAAGATGGTCCGCGTTAATTCAGACGGCGATCGTTGGTCCCTCATCTCTCTCGGCAACTCCCGCGGACACAAGTCAGTGGAGCTCAAGTTCGTGGACACGATGCGCAGGCAGTTCGAATTCTCTGTGGATTCGTTCCAAATAGCTCTGGATTCACTTCTCGCGTTCCACGAGTGCGCCCAGCTGCCCATCGGAGAGAACTTCTACCCGACCGTGGTCGGCGAGTCCGTGTACGGAGACTACTCCGAGGCGCTCCTTCACTTATCGGAGAAATTAATAGCGACGCGACAACCCGAGGAGATCCGCGGCGGTGGTCTATTGAAGTACTGCGCTCTGTTGGCCAAAGGCTACCGGCCGGCCAGACCCGACAAGATCAAGATCCTCGAGCGGTACATGTGCTCCAGATTCTTCATAGACTTTCCCGAGCTCGGACAACAGCGGGCCAAGCTGGAAGCGTACTTACGGAACCACTTCGTGGGGCGTGACGAGGAGGCTTTAAAGCACAGGTAAATATCTAACACATTCAATCAAAGCTTCTATATTTCTACTAGAAGAAACGGCGAACTTCGTATCGCCCTATAATCAAGAAATATCTGTTACGTTCTTTTATTTATATTTTTGGAGTTTACCTGTAAGCCATAAATCTCTGAGTTTTGAAGTGCGACAGAATGATGGACATATCAGTTAGTTGTCAAATCTAATATTTAAAAAAAAACGTTTGTATCAACAACTACTAATAAATTAAAATTTAATTAAAAAAACATTGTCCAGTGAAAAAATTGTGAATCTAAACCATTATCAGATCCCCTTGAACACACACAAATAATTTCAACAAAATCGGTCCAGTCGTTTGAGAGAAGTTCAGTGACATACACACTCATAGAAGAATTATATATATAAAGATGTATATGTTTACTAATGTATGTTATATGCGTAGGTACCTCACTCTGCTGCACGGCGTGGTGAGGGAGTCCACGGTGTGTCTGATGGGCCACGAGCGGCGTCAGACGTTGGCCCTCATCGAGGCGCTGGCGTGTCGCGAGCTGTGTGCCCGCGCGCCGCTGCTTATGCCGGTGCCGGTGCCGGTGCCGCCGGCCGGGTACTACGTGTGCGTGTGTGCCGCTTGTGCCGCGTGTGCCGCTTGTGCCGCGTGCGCCGCTTGTGCCGCATGCGACTGCTGCCGCCCCGCCCTCTGCCCGGCGTGACGCCTCGCACTACCGCGATCAACCTAGTGCCAAATGTATATAATATAATCGTGTATGTATATATATGATTCGACACTATGTATCTCAGATTTTTCGACCGGTATTCATCGCGCGGTGGCCGTTGTTGAAGCTCTGTCAATTCGTATTGCTCACTATACTTCGATCAATTCTTGTCAATTTTTTATTCACGCTCGTTCCGTTGCTTTAAACTCCGATAGTTTTCTGATAACAGTTTTTAGTTCCGCGGTCATTCTTATAAATTATTACGTGTTAGTGAGGGCGTGAGGTAATTTGTGATCGTACTCCTGGCGTGTTGATAGTTTAATATGTTAGCAGTACGGAAATTATGTTTCACGTCGGCTCGAGACAGACGCCGGGTCTACATTTAAAAAGACTAGTTATTTTAAGCTTCGTATGTAAAAATTCGCTTACCTTAGGCATGTCTCTCCTTCAATGTTTCTCATACATGTTTGTTTCAATATAAATCAATCAAATTCTCTGTAACATTTTAATAGTCGTGTTTGTAAGTACCGATTCCGGTCCTGTGAATGGCCTTGAAATATAAAGATATCTTTAAGTGAATACGTTTGATATCAGACGGTAGCCGAAGATAAATTTCTGTAGAATTATATGTATACGGATTTTAAATATATATAAATTAAAAATAATACATTAGAACCTCCTTTGCGACGTATACTACAAGTCGGGTTTCTCTGTGAAGGTAAAGTCATTTATTCTCTATATATTAATGAATAACTATTTTAATATCGTATATAAAGTTGTGAAAATTGTATGTATACACTCGCTGTCGACTCTAGTATTGTATACGGCTTGGATGTGGTTACAAACTAAGATTATGATAAACAAAAAATAAATAAAACTACAAAAAAAATATATATTTACTAAGGTGTGTACAATATTAAAGTTCCGTTAATGTTATAACACCATATATTAAATATTTTAAGAAAATTTACAAGTAGTTGAGTCATACAAGTACTTAGTAATGGTTTATAAATCTGAATGTTTAAATGAAACAGTAGATTGTATGAAAAAAAATGTGATTTAATTGTTGTAGAATTAATGTAATGTTGTCTATGGTTATATTTAGTAATATATATTATATATATGAATATATTAATAGATGTAGGATGGACGGCCTGTCCTTACAACTAGCTTGGTTTATAAATCCTCTATGAATTATTCTTGTGCGAAGTACAATCTGACTAGTTTAGTTTATATCTGAACAATGAAATATTACGAACGAATTTCAGACTTGCTCACTATAGAACCAAAATTTTAGATCTCATTATTATTGTTTATTACTTTGAATGTTTAAAATATTTCTCGTTCTAAGACTTGTCTAAACAAGTTTGAGTCGAAACGTATAGAGGGAACATGAGCGAACAATTATCAATCTTTGATGGAATATACAGAAATATTTGATAAAATAACAGAGTGTGTGTGTAAACAATCGTACTTACCATACAGCTCTGGTCTAATGTAATTTAAACTCTACATCTATAACATTAAGAGCGATTGTTACTTTTTTGAAGTGTTTAAATATGTGTAAGTTTCACGAGCAATATTTCGTTAAGTACAAAGTAAAAGACACGTAGATAGAAATATATTGCTCGTGAAATTAACACATAAAAATGTTATTGGCCTAAAAGTTAAAACTACCTCCTTGAAACTTAAAGCTTCCATGAATTATTTGTTTTTGCTGCATTTTTCATAACGACATAGATTGTTGTAAAATAAAATATTTAATGCCATACATGTGTGGTATATTTGAAGGTATATATTGTGTCGTCTCGTGTATGCTTCGCCTTATATTTGAACCAGGTTCTTCGTATCGTCTGAAGTCGCTTCCATTTTCTATATATTTTTTTTATTTAGTTGAGAGACATCGCGGTTTAAGTTAGTTATTATTTCTATAGTTACCATCAGTTTTCAGCTAGCCTTGTAATGAATGTAATGTATTTTTTAATGGTTTTTTTTGTATACATCGGTTAAGGTGTTCGTGTGTTGTTTATTATTTGGAACATTTTAATATTTATATATTGAATCGTTGATTATCTTCATTCCGTTCTGATAACGCTTTAGAGCTCGTTAGTGGCCTATATAAAATTATAATAATGCATTTTTGTTAAAAGCGGTCTAATAATTTTGCTAATTTTATCAGATTACAATATGTTATGAAATATTAAAAATCTAATTATTATACAAAATGTTTCGAATGAAACTAACGCAGACGCCCAAAAAAAATTGTAAGCGTTGTTCGTAAAAAAATAATTATATCAGCGTATATATAATAAAATGATGATGTTGAATAATAATGTTGTTTTGTATGGAATAATTTTTATTTGTGAAATACATATAGGAATGTACTCGATGTATATTGGCGTCACTAGTTGACGTCATATTTTCGTTCAGCACGCGCACTCAATAGTACTCGAGGCGATGAATAGAAAACTATTATTATAAAGTCCGTGTGACAAATTCAGTTATTGTGTTTAAATATCTTTATAAACGATGTAAACATCATCATTCTTGTATTATGTTCGCTTTTGATTTTATTTTTCTGTACATTATTTTTATCACGGGCCAAATAGATGAGATTTAGCTTTGTATGAACTTAATATGATTTATTCGACCCGTGATAGATGTGTACGGTCAACAGCAGCGAGCGATGGTAATTAATTTATAATCGTTTGTTGTTGCTGACTGTACACGTACAACGGACAACGCGTGTTGCGTCTCTCGCTCATATGTTCAAGGCGACTTCGCAGCAATCCGACTCTCTAGTTAAGAATCGCTAGTACATAAAGCCTTAAGGTGTATAAGCTTTTAAAAATAGTTTTTATTGAATATAATATTTACATTTATAGTTATTTTTTTCTCTCCACGTCGCCTGTATTGTGTTAAAGAGGCGTGGTGACGTGTTTGATTACATAATGATTACTATATATTTGTGAAGAGTTTTAAGCTATTGTAAATTTTACAGAAAACTAAATAAAAAAAATGTGAAAATAAATTATAAAAAAAATGTGATAAACAATGATTTATGTGTATTATTTTTTTACCACACCCTCAATATTTAATTTATAAAAAACTTATTCATTTTGACTGTCTCTGTAATGGCTTACTTTTGTTAAACAGAAAAAAACCGCAGTCTTATGTGTATCAAAATACTATATTCATATTGTAGCTTCCTAGCATTACAGTTGAACAAAATTCAATTACTTATCAAAATAAATAAAAAATTGTAATAAAAAAAATGAATTTGAGACATTTTGTACATAATATTTAAAGATATAATATTTGTAATCTGAGTCTACAAAAAGTAAATTTTTTAGAAACTTGTTAATCTTGAACTATATAAAGAAATACAAGGAAAATTATTGATAAACGCTTATGAACCAATCCACAAAAACTGTTATTAGTTCAGATGCACACAGGATATTCAGAAAGATGAGGGTGCATATTTAATTTAGATTTAACATAACCACTTAAATGTTTGACCGAAAACAACAAGTTCTACTTACGGTAGCATGAAAGTATAAGTTAAAAAAAAATTCAAAATTAGTTCTGACATGACAACATCTAACGGTCGACCCGAATACAAAAATGCATAAAAACATACAAAATCAAATACAACTTGCGTTACTTAAGACTTAATAACTTAACTTCCCCTTAACGGTTAAATTTTTATGTTTGAAGATTTATTAACATATAAGTAATGTCCAATAAAATTATATCATTTTTCTTACATAACACAACCGTGTGAATGAATTATTAATATAACCCGGCACATTTAAATAAACCGGTTTTCACAAAGATTTTATATACACCTACGCGGTTTTTTAAAATTGTTATATTACTAGATTATCTGAGGTCTAGTTGTGAACTAGTTGTATAGTAAATTACTCTTTCTCTAGAAAAATAATTAATATAATTATTTTTAATGATGACCTACAATGATGCTATTAAATATATTTATTCAACCTCATTCGAGTTTCATATAATTTTCCCTTTCCATACCCTACCTAGAATTTATTATAGTTTCAATTACTGTTTGCTTACTCCAAGTTTGCATCGTCACACAATACGTAGCGTTAACCGTTGTTCATTAATATCTTCACACATAACGTACGTTATTGAGTGAGAAACTCGAAAAGCGTCGTATATAGTATCCCAATTAAAACTTATGCTACGCGCACTGATTTCAAATGAAGGTTAAATTTTTAACTCTAAATTTGTTATTACATTTAATTGACGATTCAATTATGTTACCTTGTTAGTAAAAGGAAAAAAAGAACTCTGACTAGTGTCACGTTCGATCAATATTGAGTGTACCTATCACTCTTAAAAAACGTGTCGTCAAGGAAGGAAAAGTCATGTTAAAAATGTTACATACACATAAAATAAACATTTATTCATTGTTTTTAAATGATGTACATTATGTTATCATATGTTTTATATATACATATAAAAATATAATGAGTATCTGTTTGTGATTAAAGAAACTCTTATCACAGCTGATTATAGTTATTTACATAACATTAGGTATAATATATTTTGTTAATTTTGTCTTTATGTTTGTACGTATATACGAATGTTTACATGTAGATGTTAAATTTGATATAATTCTTTAGTGGTAATTTAATTAATGACGTGAAAGTAAAATTTTATTATAAATAATATTATTTCTGTACGTATGATGATAAAGTATTAATGTATTGGTCGATCATAATTTAAATGTATACAGAAAACGGTTGAATTGTCCCATTTTTAAAGTCATGACCCCCAGCCTGGCTGGAAATCATTTAAATATTTAAAACTGAACAGTTCAGGTTCAATGTTCGCTTTCAAAATATTTTATCTTGTTTTGTTCTACTTAAATACGTTTCGTAATTATATTTCAAGTTCACGTGAATTTCTTATATATAAAATTGATACTACATAATATGTATATACTGGAGTAGATGTTATATTTAAGA